CCGTGACCGCGTGGTCAATCCAGTGTGCTTTTTGTTGTGTGGGCTGGCTGACTGGCGGACTAAGAGTCAAACCTCAATGACTCCCTATTAATGTGGCCTTTACCGCACTCCCACGCAGCTGGGATCCTAGCCAGGTGTGGCGGCAAGTTTAGAGGCGGTTCCAGTCGTGCAAACCACCTGCGCCCTCTCCCGTCTCCGGTTTATTTGACTATGTCATGACACTGAATGGGAAGAGAGCGAGTGCGGCCCATGCTACGCGAGTCTACGCCCACTTAAAACTAACTCACACACAACGGACCGTCCTTGCCTCACTCTGCTGTGCAAAGCTTAGTGAACGTAATCGAAACCGACAGTCAAACTGTCGATACATTAATAAATGGACAGCTACGAAAATTTTGAATGGACATTTCGTAGTCCTAGAAAATTTTTCAACTAGATATCTTTTTAAAACCAAAGAATACCATCTGTCTAAGCGTGAAATCTGAAGGAGAAGTAACTTGTTGCTACATGAACAAAGGGAAGAATATTTTTTGCATATTTTCACTAAAATATAGTGGCATGTACCCATGTAATCATTTTTTGGCGAATGTAGTTTAGTCGGCAAGACGCATGTTCAGAAGCCGGCAACCTTGACGCGTGGTAGAAATATCTTTGGGTTATGCCGCATTACTAAGAGAGTGAGAGAGAGAGAGCGGGCGATCACCAACGATGCCTAATGACCGAACTCTGTAGTTACCAAAATCATGAAGAATCTTCCTTGAATGGTTCACAAAATTTAGGCAAAATCGGACTTCCTTCAAAATGCTGCTGGCGTCGTGCCTTATTGACCTCACTGTTGTAGTTCGAGTAAACAAAGAGGGTTCAAAATAGGTTTATACTGGGCGCAATAGTGCAACCGATGTACAGTACGGCCCAGAGTTCGTGAAACATGCCGACATTTGCCAGAGGTTGATACTCATTAGCTAATCGGAATTGAGTAAAATTGTGATACTGATTATCGTGTAGCTTATTCTTAAGTCATTTTAGTCACGATACGGTGCCGGCTCTTTTCTGACCACTAACAAAAAGTGTGTACTCTGAAAAATTGCTACTTAAGTAGTATGCATTTTTGTCATTGATTCGGACTGCCTTTATAAATTCAAGTATATTTTATGGAAAACATACACGAAAAATTCTTCTTTCTACTCGTTTGGTAGTAAATTACGCCTTCTTTAACTTTTTACTTAAGGAAAGGGTGTCTTTGGGTTTTAAAAAGTTTCTAAATTGCCGAATAATTTTGAAACCTACTGAATGCTACACCTGAATTTAAGGTTTACAAACTGCGTGCTGTTTACATCTTGTTTGAGGAAAAGTACGTTTTTGTCTACGGTTTGAGGAAGAAATCACATAGTTCTCAGAAAATGTTGCAATTTATGTGGATCATGCTGCATACATTATAGACAGCATTAATAAATTGACGGATGCGATGCATTATGAATGAAAACCTCACAATCGTAAAAAATCTCATTATCAGACATTTTTCTAAAACCGATGGATATTTTTTCCTTAAAGTATAAAGAATTAAAGAAAGCGTGCCTTAATACCTAACAAGTACAAGAAAGAATTTTTCCGTGCGTGTTTTGCATAAAGTATATTTGAATTTATAAAGGCAGTCAATCTCAATGATAAAAATGCAATTAACCATTTTTTTACGGTACACACGTTTTGTTAGCGGTCAGAAAGAAGCTCGTAGCTCGATGGTAGAGCGTTGGCTGTACATAGGTCTTCTCTGCTGTGTGGGCTCGACTCTTACCGAGACCGCGAGCTTTTTCACAGTTGGCTCAACTAAATTAAGCAAATCTGCCAAATCCCCTAACAAGAAAGAACCTCGTTAAAAAGCCGGTATCATATCGTGACTGAAATGACTGGAGAATAAGCTACACGATAATCAGTATTACGCCATTCCGGTTAGCGAGTGAGTATCCATCTTTCGCAAATGTTGCACGAATTCTGAGCTGTACTGTACACATGAGAAGAAATTTAAATGCGAATGGAAAAAGAGCAGAAAATAAAATGGTGGCTCAGTTTCAAAAGCCCGGACACCTTTCGAATGGAAAATAAAGTTTAGAATTTCGGGGTTAACAGTTCACGAGATGGCACATGCTGCAGAGTCGCCTCGCCTCATTGATGTTGCGGCCTCAAAATTGTGTGACAACTGGTGGCGCCAGCGATTAACGTACTTTCTTTTGTTCTTTGTGTGTACGCACCCAATTGCGGTTTAGACGTGGCCTTCATCTGCAAGTGTGTAGGGCAGAGCTGCGTGCGTGTACACCATCCTGCTACAGGCGGCTCGATTTGCACTTTGCATATGTGCTCTGAACCAAGACGAGGGGGGGGGGAAGGGAGCAGACTGGGTCACGAGACACACTTCTCGGAGGCTGAATTGAGTTCCCGCGAGGCCATAGTTACAGACGTGTGGGGTGTGTTGTAATTGCAAAAGTAGAATTCTTTCAGCGTACTTAGCACAACA